TTTTCGGGCCGAGCCGAGCCGAGCCCGAGCCGGCTCGATGTATCGAGTACTCGAAATTTTCGAGTACTCGAGTGACTTCGAGTACTCGAAAAATTCGAGTACTCGGGTAAATTCGAGTACTCGATTAAATTCGAGCACTCGAGTGAATTCGAGTACTCGAATTTTTCGAGTACTCGAATGGATTCGAGCTTTTGACTTACTAAAAAAACTATTAATAAGTAAAAAATTTCGAATTTTTTTGAATTACTGAATCAATATTTCTATTTGCTAAATATAATAAATGCGAAAATTCTATGAATTTTCTCTAGAACTCGAATTTACTCAGAGCTCGAAAAAATTCGAGTACTCGAATTCCCTCGAGTGCTCGAGAAATTCGAGTACTCGAATTAACTCGAGTACTCGAAACTATTCGAGCTTTTTACACAGCTCGGCTCGGCTCGAACTCGGCTCGAGCTCGAACTGATTAGGCTCGGCTCGGCTCGGCCCGAAAAATGAAAAGCTCGAAAAAGCTCGCTCGAGCCTCGAGCCTCGAGCTTTTTGCACAACTCTACTATTTATAAAAATAATTTAATTTTTTCGAAGGATTTATTAAAATTTCAGAAAAAAATTGAATTTTCTCGAAATGTGTTAAATTTTTTTTAAAAATTGAATTCTTCCTAGGAATTTAATTAAAATTGTTTTGAAAATCATTGAATTTTTGTAAAGATTTTACTATTTAAAAAAGTAATTAAATTGTTTAGAAGGATTTATTAAAATTTTAGAAAATAACTGAATTCTTTCGTGAAATTTTATTAAAATTTTTGAAAATACGAACAGTACTAATTAATTTTGTACTTAATAAGTGAATTTTAAAAATTTTAATTATGAAATTATTTTGAAAATTTATATTTGAAAATAAAAAATTTTGTAATTTGCATAACAATAATAAATGGAATATCACGTTCCGCGCGCTAATTTTTTTTATAAATGTCTTCGCAAAATTCAATTATTTTCATAAATAATACAATTTTTTACTGGAATTCAATTATTTTTATAAATAATAAAATTTTCTGTTCGGAATTAGTTATTTTCATAAATAATAAAATTCTTTTTAGGATTTTTTTCCCTAAATAATAAAAAACTGATCAAAGAATCAAAAGATTTAAATTATTTAAATATTTGAAAGATAAAATTCTTTATGAGAATTAAATTTTAAGAATTATTCAATTATTAAATAAATTATTTATTTTTGCATTTAAATAATTGAAATCTCGTAGAATTTTCTAATATTGATTTAATAATGAATTTCAATTAAAATTTTCAGATAATAATTGAACATTAAATGCATTATATTAGAAATTTTAAGAAATAATTGAATTTTTGAATAGGCTTCAAATTAAAATCTTTTAAAATTTGATTTTTTCATACTATTAACTAACAATTCTGTAGAATTAATTTTTTTGAAAAAGTTTAATTGAATTTTTTTTTAAAATTATTTAAAGTTCCTATTTTCTAATATGCAATTGAAGAACTTCAGAATAATCGATGAAATTTCGTTAAATTGAATAATTGTAAACAAATGGATTTGAAAATTCTCAAAGAACTTTTTCAAAATGTATTAAGAATAATTGAATTAAAGAAGAATTTCTGTTAAAAATTCTAGAAAATAAAAATTGAATTGAAATGATGCAAATAATTTTTAAGAAGTTACAGTAACAATATTCTTATAATATAAAATAATCTTTTTATCACTCGGTCATCACTAAACGTAATTATTTTATTTAAAAAAAATTCCAATTTAATTTTCTGATATAACAATAAATTATTATTACAATGAAATTTTTTATGCTTTGTGAAACAAGTTTGCTACTTATTTGAAAAAATATAATAATCTGTCAAATAAATAAATACAGTTAAGTCAATTAGTGAATTATTCTACATTGTATGATTCCTACATTGAACTGTAATAGATAAAGCAAAATCAAGAACATTATTTATTACTCCTACACTTTAATCATTTAATTTATAGGGTGATCGTGCTCCGAATTCATTTTCATAACTGGATTTCTGAAAATATTTAACATACACAAAGAGATATGACTGATTACATTATTTAATATTATATTCATGTACTTGTATGTTTATACATAAAAAAAAATATATTGTATTAACTATTAAGTTTTCACTGTTTCGCACGTTCAATAATATATATAAACTCTTGTGTATAATATATATGTATTTATTTATATATATATAGTTATAAATATAAACATACATTATTTAAGTTGTATTTTCTCAGGATTGGTACGTGTTTAAGATTGAATCTGAATTACGTCAATGTGCGCATTGCATAATGATTTGCAATGTAGCACACAACTTGGAGTATCATGCACTTTGCACACCCTTCTACACTTTACTGGAGATTTTTTTTTAAACGGGGCCATCGACTCTTGTACGCGTGATTATATGTTTACTAGCCAGTCCTTTGCAATCCACTGGTTTATTTATATATATATAAATATTATTTTCCCTTCATCCTTTGCAAAATTATTGGAAGAAACATTTCTCTTCAATTTTAAATAACTTTAAACCGAAGATTGTATATATTTATATCTATACACATTTTTACTATCTTATTTTTCTTAAATCGAATCGTTGCATTAAAACAGTTTAAAGTTAGTTTCTGTGTATGCTTTTGTTTTTTTTTCTTTAAAAAATATTGTTAGCTTCAATGAATATTAAATAACATTTAAATGTCCTTCATCAATTGGATTTTGCTAAATTAAATGAAACGGAGAAAAACAAATTTGAGATTAAAAGAAAACTAAAACATGAAAAATCAAACAGGATAATTAAAAAAAAAACATTAATTCCTAAAATGATAAATGTAGGCGGACTATTAAAACTACAATAATTTAAGTGGCACACGTGAAATGTTGTCAATAGTTCGGAATTACGATCAGCAGTAAATTTATTGCAAAACGTTTCTACATTTAAACGAGAGACAGAGGAAAAAATGATAAAGAAAATAAAACGAGAATTAGGTTTACGAGTCTATAATTATTGTATAATTTAATAATTAATAATTTCAAATTAGAATTAAATTAAAATTCACTAAAAATAAAAATATTTTCTTAAGCTGAACTTTAATTTTTTTCAGTCGAAAAAGTTTTTCGAAAAAAAAATAAAGAATGATTGAAAAAAATGATTTTATGTAAAATCTAGTGAACATCAAGGTGAACATTCTCTCACAAACGAGAATTTGAAATTGAAATGAAATTAAATTTATGATACATTTAAAAATGAAATAAAAGTAAGTAATTAATTTAATTAAATAAATTAAAAGAAATAATCTAATTAATCTAATTAATTAAATTAATTAAATAAATCAAAATAAATTTTAAATTAAATCAAACTTAGAATTTGCAATTTAATCAAGTAAAAATTTTTCAAATTAATTAGATTAAAATTTGCCAATTTAATTAAATTAAAAATTAAAATAATTACACAAAATTAAAAATTGTTGAAATTAATTAGATTAAAATCTACAAAATAAAATTAAAATTAACAAATTAATTAAACATAAAAATTCGAAAATTAATATTTCTCAACAATGAAATGATCAGAAAATATTGACTTCCTTCTCAAATGTAATTAAACAAAAAAATTTGCCTCAAAATACACAATTTCAATGTAGACTGAAAATTAAAATGTTAAATATCAAAGAACCGGTCACGTGCACGCGTGCAACGTGCCGAGTGCTCTTGGGTTCATGGCCTACCTCTACCTTGCTACTTCAACTAGAAGTTGTGACATAATAGACCATTTACGAATGCCAGTTCGCACTAATAGACTCGCGCACACATATATATAATAATAATAATATAGAGTATATACATTACAAAGCGCAGTTGAAAATCCTATTGGCTTTGAAATTCAATTTATTACCTATACTTTTTTTTGTCGATAACAATAAAAAATTCAATAATTTCAGGAAATACTCCAATTTGAAAACAAAAATTTAATTATCTTTCTTCTTTCATTAAAATTACTTTTCATTATTTAATTATTATATCATTAATTATTATTATTGAAAATTGTTATCGATTAATGATGATTAATGTCATCTTCAATTGACACTGATGCGATAATAATAAGAAGATATGAATTGTAATTAAAATAAATAAAATATAAATTGTAATTAAGTAAATGAAGCACAAATTGTAATTAAGTGAATAAAGCATAAATTGTAATTAAGTAAATAAAGCATAAATTGTAATTAACTAAATAAAGAATAAATTGTAATTTAGTAAAAAAAAACAAATTGTAGTTAAAAAACGAATTATAATTAAATAAATGACTCGAATTATAATTTATAAGCATAAATTGTAATTAAATAAATAAAGAATAAATTGTAATTTAATAAAAGAAACATGTAGTTAAAAAACGAATTATAATTAAATAAGTGACTCGAATTATAATTATAAAAGAAAAATTATAGTTAAATAAAGAAAACAAATTTAATCATCTTTTTTTAATAGATTTTTTTAAATTTAAATAAAAATATAAGTTAATGAAAAACTAATAAAAAGCTGAATCTTAAAACAAATGAAAGGAAATTTTTTTGCATCGAAGCAAATAGGATCAGTAAACAATAATTGTATTAATTGAAAGGGAAGAATTATTGAAGTAGCTGAATATTGAAGCAAGGAAATATTTAAAATACTATAAATTGATAATTTTTTTAAGATTAATTATTGAAGTATTTATTATCAGATTAAGCAATAACAAAATACTAAAGACAGTCGAAAATCGTTTCTAGAATGGGGAATAAATAGATTTATAATTAAAAGGTGTTAATAGTTTTTTTCGTTTTTAAAAAAATATCTTATGGACAATAAAAATCAAGGTCTTTTTAATTTTACAAATTTTTAGAGCTAATGCGTCATAACATTATAAATTTTACTCAATTAACACTTATTACGATTAATTTTTAAATATTTCGAAATTTTATTTTTCAGATGAATTTCAACGCAGTTTATGAGAACAAAGGATTATTTTCTGCTGTTCGGTAAGTTTTACATTCACACAAACTTTGTTATAATTTCATCACAGTTGCAATAATTATTCGTTTTTTTTCACTTCATTATTTAATTAATATTCAACATTAATATTCAATTAATAAATAATAATATACAAAAAATAATTATTCTATCAACAATGATTCAAAAAATAATTATATTATCAACAATTATTCAAAAAATAATTACATTGTCAACATTTATTCGAAAAATAATTGTTTTATCACCAATTATTCGAAAAATAATAATTGTTTTATCAACAATTATTCAAAAGGTGATTATATTATCAACAATTAATCGAAAAATAATTGTTTCATCAACAATTATTCAAAAAAATAATTACATTATCAAAAATTATTCGAAAAATAATTATTATGTCAACAATTATTCAAAAAAAAATTACATTATCAACAGTTATTCGAAAAATAATTACATTATCAACATTTATTCGAAAAATAATTGTTTTATCAACAATTATTCAAAAGGTGATTATATTATCAACAATTATTCGAAAAATAATTGTTCTATCAACAATTATACAAAAAATAATAACAGTATCAACAATTATTCGAAAAATATTTATTTTATCAACAAATATTTAAAAAATAATTACAATATCAACAATATTCGAAAAATAATTGTTTTATCAATAATTGTTTTATTAACAATTATTCAAAAAATAATTACATTATCAACATTTATTCGAAAAATAATTGTTTTGTCAACAATTATTCGAAAAATAACTCTTTTATCAACAATTATTCGAAAAATAATTGTTTCATCAACATTTATTCGAAAAATATTTACATTATCAACATTTATTCGAAAAATAATTACATTATCAACAATTATTCGAAAAATAACTCTTTTATCAACAATTATTTAAAAAATAATTACAATATCAACAATATTCGAAAAATAATTGTTTTATCAATAATTGTTTTATTAACAATTATTCAAAAAATAATTACATTATCAACATTTATTCGAAAAATAATTGTTTTGTCAACAATTATTCGAAAAATAACTCTTTTATCAACAATTATTCGAAAAAAAACTCTTTTATCAACAATTATTCGGAAAATAATTGTTTTATAAACAATTTTTCAAAAAATAATGATATTATCAACAATTATTAGAAACATAATTATTTTTTTAAGAATTATTCACGAATAAATAAAAAAAAGAAAAAGAAAAGAGTATCACTTTTGAATTATCAATTCACAAGTGATACGTTATTTTTTTTTTTTTTTTTTTTTTTTAAATAACATTTTTATTGGACAAAAAAGTTGAACATCTTGATTTATTTTGCGACATTTATATTCTCGAATATAAATATTATGAATAATGAATATATTTTCATTTAACAAATGAAAATAAAAATTCAAAAGACCCAAGGAGAAATCATTATATATAAAAAAAAAAAAAAATTAGTACCGTGGGTGTCTTATTCAGCTTCCGTTTTAAAACTATACACAAACCTAACGAATGTATGTTCACGCACGTGAATATCGTATTAATCAGTTGTCTTCAAAAACATGTGACTAGGGTTCTTCTCTTCTCTTTCTTTTTTTTTTGTTGATCCCTTTCATGGGGGTCTTGCGTCACTAACCAACAGCTGAACGAACCCCTTCTCGATAATAATGCATCCAAAGATTAATATATTCAAATTAAAAAAAGCATTATTAAAAAGTACATTACAAAACATGGTGAAAAAAATATAAAAGATGTGCTTTAAATAGCAAATACTTAATTAAAGAAAAATAATTGTAATTCTTTACAAGATGTTCCAATCTGTTCGAAATTCAAATTTCAAACAAGATGCAACGGTCTTATTAGTAAATTTTTTTTTCAATTTTAATAAAATTTATTATTTGAAAATAAACGATAGTTGAATTTTTAGTAATAATTTTAAAAAAAATAGTTATCAATTAAAGTATCTGGATAATGATAATTATTTTACAGAGTTGAAAGTAATTACTATAGTATAAATATTTACACAAAGTATTAAATTTGCACGAGCCAATGATAAATTAACACGAGTTTAAATAGTTGAAGACAGAAATATTGTAACTGATGATTTCGGAATAAATTTTAGGAGAAAATTTCCATTATAGCGAACTTGTTATGACCTGTGATTCATTGTTAATGCCTTTTGTCTGCACCTGAATGTAAACAAACCGCTATACAGCAATGCACAAATATCAATAAATTGTCTCGATCAGACGCATTCTAATTAATACTTTCAAAAACAAACATTCATCGCTTGCTTTAAAATGCATTTTTCAATTTTCGTTTTTTTTCAGGAAAATATATTTAGCATTATTATATCGAGAATTATGTACCAATGTTAATAAGCTATATTATTATTATAATTGCTAATTATAATAAATTATAATAATTTTCAAAAGTAATACAATTTTGCGCAAAAATTTAATTATGTTTAAAAATTTTTTTAAATTCTCGTCAAAATTTCAATTATCTTTATAAATAATAAAATTCTTTCCTGAAATTCAATTATTTTCGAAAATTTTAATAAAATTCTCGACAAAATTTTAATTATATTTATAAATAATAAAATTCTTCTTTTGAAATTCAATTATTTTCGAAATAATTTTATTAAATTCTTATCGAAATTTCTATTATTTTCAAAAACTTTCTTCAGTTCAATGATTTTCAATTTGTAATATTTTAATAAAATTTTCCAAAAGAATTCAATTATTTAAGAAAAAGATTTTGATAAAATTCTACGCAAAGATTTAATTATTTTCATAAATAATAACAATTATTATCATTAATAAGAAAATTCTATTTAGGCATTCAATTATTTTTATAAATAATAAAATTCATAGCAGAATTTTAATTATTTTTAATAAAATTTTAATCGAATTCCTCGAAAAAGAAAATTATTCTTTTTTTTTTTATTAAAATTCGTTAAAAAATTCAATTATTTAAAAATTTGTTGATACAATTTTTCGTGAGAATTCAATATTCAATTATTCAATAAATTATTTAATGTTGTATTTACTTTGAATTCTCGTAGAATTTTCTATTAAAAATTGATTTCAAAATTAATTTTAGTTGAAATTTTAAACAATAATTAAATTTTGAAAGCATTATAACGTGAATTTTTTGAAATACTTTAATTTTTAAAAGGTTTTGAAAAATTCAAATTTTCAAAGATTTTAATCTTTGATGAATTTTCTATACTTTTAACTAACAATTCTGTAGAATTAATTTTTAACATGCTGTTAAATTATTGAAAAAAAATTTTGATATACAATTCTACGAAAATATCCAATTATTTTCATAAATAATAAAATTTTATTTAGGAATTCAATTATTATCTTCATCGTTATTTATTCATGTTATCGAATAATGATACGAATTATAATAATAGTCGTAATACTAATCATAACAATAGTAAAAACTAAAAATACTTATAAATAATAATTTCCTAAACTTGATCTAAAATTACACACAAGCATTCAAATAATTCCCCTAATCTCATTTTTAAGAAAAAATAAACTAAATATTTAAGGCAAGATTTGACTTGGAATTTTCTTGTACAAACTTATAGAGTGACTTTCGTATCAATAAAATTGTTGCATCATAAATCTATTGTGTGAAGCACTCGGTTAAAATTATGCAATTTAACTCTTACCCTTTATCGTGAGTTCAAATATTGTTGCGCTCAAATGACAGTATTTCCTTTACATTAAAAGCATTTATGATCGTGAAATAAAATGTATAATCGAATGATAACATCATTATTGTATACTGATTAATTACCCTGAAGCATCACATTAAATTAAGTTTTTTTTAAAGTAATCTGAAACTCACGCGTCACTACTTCATCAAATACCGTATATATAACAAACATGTATACACGTCAAAACATATTAAATATAAAATTATTATTATTTAGCAGAACGCAATAAAATAAATATGCATTTCGTATAATATAGAAAAGTACCTTTTGATAACGTACCTTTTGATTAGTCGATTTAAATAAAAATACTGTTTACCAATCAATAAACGAATATTAACATTAATTTCTTATTAATTTATTTTCTAAGCATTTTTATTAATTAATTAGATAAATAAGTAGTTAATAATAACAATTATTAAAAATATAATTTAAAAATTAAGTTAAAAAATAAATTTATATTAAATATTTAAGAAATTATGTCATAAGGAAATAAAACTAAAAAAAGACCGAATTCATTTTGAATATTTAACTAGTTCTTTAGGTATGAAGAAGAAGAAGAGGCGGAGCATAAGTGAAGGAGTGGGGGCAATGAGTGCGAGAGAGAAATACCGCGAGGTCTCTCTCGCTCTCATTGCCCCCACTCCTTCACTTACGCCCCGCCTCTCTTCTCACAGTTCAGTTCCTTACATTTACTCCTATACATTTCTATAGAAATTCAATCATAAAAAAATAAAAAATAGTCACACACACCGCAACAAATCACAACAATTACTTATCACTCTAATCAATTTTAGAACAATGAAAAAATATTTTCCCATTACATAACAATTTCAAAAAAAAAAAAAAAATGAAATAAATTACGAAATTATATTGTGAATAATAAAACACAAACTATTCGAAACAAAACTAATTAGGAGGAGTAAATATACTATTGTTGAAAAGGTCAGACGTATATATATATAGTTTTTAAAATGAATTTACAAGATCGCACGTTTCTTATTTGCACGTGAGTGCAATGTTTCGAGTTATGTCATGTAATTGTGCATGAAATGTATATATATATAAAAGAGCTATAGAGTTTGTGTAATGCAAAGTGAATGAAGGTTTAGGTGCAGTCATACATTGCATCATTGTTGGACTGTTGGACCTTTCGATCAGCGACACGTGTTAGCTGCAACATTAACAATAACAATAACATTGGCATCACTGCGCTAACAATGTGACCACTGTGCAGGCATGCAGAATATAATAACCCAGAATTTGTTACTCAAGAGATTG